CCTGAGGGTTCTATACTGTTTGCTGGAGGGGTACTCGGACCTCCTGGTTAGCCTATGACTGACCGGTTGGTGCTGCTTTCATGGACAGCAAACCGGATTGGCGTCCCCGCTCCGCGGCAGTACCATTACACCACCAAGGACCGATCAACCCACTGTCGTATCATTACAAGACACCCGTGGCCCGTAAACGCAAGAACCTGGAATACCTTACTGGCTCAAGCCGCANAACTGTCCTGTCCTGTCCTGTCCTGGTTCTTCTTTTCAAGTACGCAAATAGCCTCTTCGGCGCCGTGGCAGATTCAGAAGCTAGACGCTCCTCGAAAACGGCGTTTGGCCACCATCCTGGCGAACACTGGTTCCGTATTAGTCGGTATTCATCGTAGTCTGAATTCGAAGCATGGTAGTGCTTCCAAGCATGATGTCTCCTACGGAGTATACTTCTAAGCTCACGATCGAACCAGGGTAGTCCCATGGCATGAGGCCGGCTCCTGCGTACAGGGGCTAATCGTCGCACTAGCTGTAGTAGGCAATCTAGGATAACACACCACGACTCTTCGACATCTTTGTCGATTGGCTCACAGTTTAACAACTGCGCTGCCGTACGTATGTCATCGTACTGTATTCACCATACATTCCGTCCGCATGGGGGTGGTTGTGAGAAGGGGGCCCACGTCTCCAGCATACAGTCAACACTACATGATCACTGGCACCGAAAGGTGAGAGAAACTGGTTGTTAGCTACGTCCGAGACACGGGGAGTTAGAACAAGATCCAATGTGAATAACTACTGACCAAGACTGCGGGTGGGTTCCTGCACAGACAGTTGAATGCAGTTCCCGTGAGAAGTGATCAGCGGACGTGGTGTAACAATTCGAGGTCCAGTCAATGTGAGGTGCACTGAAGTCCCGGAGCACCATACAGTGACCATTCGCGGCCCAGCGACTCATGGATTCCACTAATAATGGAGAGTCGGACACAGGAGTACTGTAGCCGACTCCTATCATAGAATATCCGTTGTGGGAAAGTTTACTGTTGCACCACAAACATTCCGAGAGCCCCTGATGGTCGACATGCTCCTCCAACAGATGTGATGGCAGTTCATCGCGAATGCATACCATTAGTCCACCTCCCCCACGAATTGAGTAACTGATAATGTACGTGTAATGCTTCAGCAACACTCGGAAAACACGTGAGCAGTTACGTACAGAATTTCGTATTGTATTAT